CAAATGCTGCAGTTCTACTTTCCTAAGGCAGAGAAGTGCCCCGCGATGGAGGCCAGAGCCAAAGGAGCTAAGGGAAATGTGCCAGCCTTTGCTGGGGTAAAGAAAGATGCAGTTCTCAGCAGCTGTGCTCAGATGCAATCAGGCAGAGCCCGCAGCCCCGCTGCCTCTCCAGGGACCTGTTTTACCGCTTGGCCCTCACCAGCACCGCTCCAGGAGTACATTTAGGAAGCTGTTCAGCAGCCAGGCACGAAGCTGCCGCCCAGACTCGATAATACCATTTCCCCTCCTCTTCACCAATGTCTGTGTCTGCAGGAGGGTGTTGCTCAGGAACATCTCCTGCACGGCTGGGACTGGGCTGGGCTGCATTTCACGTGCCAGAGGTAGAAACTGAACAGAAATAACCTGCCCAACAACGTGTTTATCCCGGATGCGACTAAAGCCTGAGCATTTGAAGTCTCATTTACTGAAGCTGGTGGTGGGTCCCGTTCCTGGTCGGCAGTCACAGGGTCCTACACTCGTGCACCCAGAGACCAGCGCCCGCCCGGTCGCTGCAGGGAGCTGAGGGATGGTGTGGGCAGCACCGGGAGCCAGGGCCAGAGTCACACCACAGTTAGGAAAGGCAAACCTATTCCTGCCGCATCCGCTTAAGGAATCTGGCTTTGTAAATCTTCTCAGGAACAGGCAGATGAGAAATGGGCAGGTCCGGGGGCTCCGGGCTGGAGTTGTAGCTGCAAATGGTGAGGTTTCCATCTGGGGGGATCACGCACAATCACAAAAATGTGGTTTATTTTAGTTTTCAGTTGTTCTAGGGCCTTTAATCCATAAAGGACTTTGCTTTGTCAGGGTAGGCTGTAATGACTCTGGCTTAAGGCCACAGCAGCCGAAATCCCGACAATTTTCTGTGCCTCGGCAGGCAGAGGGGCTGACCAGAGCCTCTGCTGATAAAAGATACTCCCCGGCAATTACACCCTTTCGAGCAGGAGGCTGCACGGGTTTAAAAAAAAAAATTAAGCTGCTGAACAAGAAAATGCTGGGATTTTTCCAAAGAGGGGAAGCTGGTGAATGAGCAAGGTATTAATGCTGCACATTAAATGTGCCCCTACACATCTTTACCTACTGTTAAAAAGAGGTGGCACTTTGATATAATTGGTTCTTGGCTGCAGCAGCTGGCAACAGAGCTTGGCTGTTGCAGTGATCCCTCGGGAATAACACAGCTAATTAAAGCCTAGGAGCTGGTGACCAGCAGCTTCTCCTTTCTCTCCGGCTGTCTGTGCTCATCAGAGGTAGGTGGATCTTAAGGAAGTTTTGTGCTGAAATGTGCTCATCGGGGAAGGAAGGGTTTGGCTTTAAAACTTGGTGCTTTGTGGAATCCTAAATATTCCAACACGATGAGCTGAGAGATTTCAGGTCCCTGTGTATGGCGGGGGGGACCAGCAGCTTTGGGCTTGTGGCATGTCCTGGGCCCGGTGTGTGTCAGTCCCACCACCCCCCTGCCCGGTCCTGTTGCCTCCTGCTGCCCCCCAGTGCTGCTGGTTCTGCAGCCAGCTCTTACCCTGCGAACGGGGAGCTGCTGTTTGGTTTTCGTTTTCAGAGAGGCTAAATCCCCCAAATCTTTGGTGGGGTTGAGGGAGCTACGAGCGTTCAGCTCCTCTGAAGGGCCGGGGCCTTGGGGCTCTCACAGTCACCATCCAGAAATAGCTGGAAAAACCTGCTTTTGCCCAAGCGGCCTTTCCCAGGAGCACTGCGCTGAGGGGGAAAACCCTGGGGGTTTTATGCCCCCAGAGGGTGCCCTGCGAGCTGAGCTGTGGACCTGCTTTTATTCTTTTTCTAAGGAAAATTGATGGACTTTGCTTTGTTGGTTACTCCTTATTTGCAATGGGTTGGGCTGTCCCGTGTTTTATAGCTCCTGCCTCAGCGCCGGGCTCTCCAGTAACCCCAGTTAAGGGCAGGCAGCTGTACTGGAGGCCGTGCAGCTGAGCTGGCTGCCAGCCTGGCACTGAGGGCCCACAGTCACGAGTGGGCTGAAGTGGTGGTTTGTGGCTCGATGGGGCTGGGTTGATGTGCTGGCGGAGGTGCTGGTCCCAGAGGAGACCTGGGAGAAGGGGAGGAGAAGCGAGAGGCCAACCAGGACCTGAGCTTAAGAAGGCACCATTAACGAAGATAAGGATGATACAAGAGACATTTTAATCTATTAGGAACAAAAGCAGTGCTCAAACTGCAGCGGTGAAGGCCTGTAGCCAACCAGAAAAGTAATGGTGTTGGCTGTTTCTCAATTTACAGCCGGTGGGATGATGTATTTGTCGTTCCATTAGCACCCAGGCAGGACAGGAATGGGACTGAAAATAAGCCCAGATGTTTCACCTGAAGCAGCCAGCTGGGCTCACCCGCTTTCCTCCAACGTGTGCTGGGTACAGACGGGGTGGCGGAGGGCAGAGGTGAAGACCCGGGTAAATATCAGTGGGTTAACAGGATCAGAAATCCATTAATGAGGAATGAAAGGCAAACATGCAATTAAAATCCATCAGAAACAGGCCTTGTCATTGAAGGTGGTTTAGTGAGTCGAATTGCAAAGACACTTTTGGCCCCTGCAGCTACTCAGTATGTACAGATCACCTGCTATGATATAAAATAGATGATGCACACCTGGAGGAAGGTTGTCTTCCTGATGGATCTCAAACCGTTTGCCGCTGTCCTTCACACGGGGGCACCTCCTGTGAGATTCTGCTCAAATCTACTAGACCTTGTAATGTGTGAGGCTTTAACCAGGGACTGAGATATCTGAAGTCTAAGTCATCTCAGTGGTAGTAAGCAGCAGCCTGGTGGGAAGACTCACAGAAGAACATCCACTGCTGAGGAAGGCAGGCCTGCCAAACAAAGCCTGACTTCATTTAGTGTTAACATGAGGAAGAAAATGTTGTCCACAGCTGCGGGAAAGGGTGTGTGTGTGTGTGTGTGTGTCTGTGTCTCAGCTATCCCAGAAAAGGCTGAGGGAGGTCTAAAACTTAGCTCCTCTGTTGCCAGAAGGGTTAAGACAGTCTCTGAGGGTGTAAACAAGGAAGAATGAGGAAGAATGTTGTGCCTTCTGCATAGAGCAGGAGAGAGACAAACCCCGGTGGCAGTTCTGATGTCAAAAAAAGGAAGGTCTGAGACACAGGCATTGTGGAAACCCTGGAGAAAGTCCTTTGTAGGGAGAGCCGTAAAGCAGCCCTGTCTCTTCAGGTGATGGGGAGGAGCAACAGGACCTTCATTGCTCTGCTCGTGTTGGGGGAGAAGAGGCCAGGTACTAAATGGGTTTTATTTTGCAGGCAGAGTGAGGAGGAACAAAGGAGGAGCTGAGGACAGACAGCGCAGAGTGGAAAAGAGGCACATGCTCCTTACAATAAGGGTGAGTAACCATTGGAACAAAGTAGCAAGGAACTTGTTGGTTTAAGAGCACTTATATTTAAAAGATTATGTTTCATAAAATATTTTTTTCCTATTGGAGGTTGTCAGCTCAACATGTGACTCAAAGCAGCCTGGCACTGCGCTGGAACTGTGGCCAATTACACACAGAGAAAGTACCAATTACCTTTCTGGTGACAGCTGTGATGACTAGTTTAGACATTAAAAAAAAAAAATCCCTTAAAGATAAAAAGCAAAATGAATGCAATTGCTCAGGATTTGGACAATGCAAAAGGACTTATTTCAGGCAATTAATTGGAATTTTACCTAGAGGAGAACTTGCTGCAATGGCAGATAACATGGCTTGGAGGTTTCTGGTTTAGCTGGAGTGTGGCACTTTTGAGTAGGAATGACCCCCAGAGTCCCCAGTAATGCTGGGCCCCATTCCCAGTGGCACTAATGCACCTCTTTCACACAATGCAATTAAATTACAAACACAAGTGTGGAAAGCAAATCAGCTGCAATCCTTCACCTTCGTTTCTTCTTCCCCTCATTTTAAGCCTACAGGTTCACACCAGGCATCCAGCAGGGAAGCTGCACTTCTACTTGATGTTGTGTTTGTACAGCAGGTGGTAATTTCAAAAGTCTTGTTCTGCTTTTATTTTCCAGAATAAGTTACCAAGTGTCCACCCCAAGAAGGTGTATTTGCAGCCCTCCAGCCCTTGAAAGCTGTGAAGCAGGAGCGGGATGGAGGGAAGAATGGCACTCATTTGGAAGGCAAGTCACAGATTGCTAAAAGCCACTGGGTGTGACTTGGCACAACAGCCACACGCTGCTAAATGACAGATACATACACAGTGTGTGTAAAGATAGCAATTAATTGATAATAACAAAGATATATAAAAACGTAAAGTATCCACAGTGGTGTCAGTGGTAGGGGTGGAGCATGTTGCAGTGGAGTGAGACCAGGGGCACAGGTGGGACCTGGTTCCCACTCGGAGCCGCAGGACTCGTGCTCAGGTTGGTAAAGGAGCCAAAAGCGTAGCTGGGCTCCTTTCCCCCCGTCAGCCCCTTCCAAAGTCTCTGCTGTCACTCAGAAGTGACGGCGCTGCCCGGCTCCAGGTGCAGACACTTTGTGCTGCTTCCAGGACCAGCCACTTTTCCCACTTCCAGGCAGCCTGGAGCCTGCCCCGCGCCACCCGGAGCTCCGGGGAAGCAGCGTGATTCCCAGAGCCAGTGCCTGGCTGGGCACAAGCCAAGTGTTCTGAGCTCCAGCCCAGCACTGCCCTGGCCCAGGGCTCCTCGGAAGCAGCTCGGACACCTTTGCTCCGTAGCGTTCCAGCTTTCGGGAAAGATTATTAACATTTACACGAGTCTCAACACTGCCCAACCCACAAAGCCTGCCCTGAGCCTGAAGAGCTCAGGTGAGAAAGCAGAGCTGTTTTTACAGCTAATTAGCCCACCTGGGCCTGCAGAGCCTCTCGGAGCCTGGCACACCAGTCTTTGCCAGCAAACCCCTCTCCTGCAGCGCGGCGCCTGCTCCCCCCACCAAAACCTTTCGTTAACCCCCCCTCCACACACACACCTGCCCAAACTGTGTTAGTAAAGGAGATTCAGCCTTGCACGTTAGAAAGTTTACTCTAGTAAAGCATGGCACAGTTACAGTTTCAGCACAGGGAAATCCTAGAGGCTGTTTGCTGTTATTTACTTAAGTGACATTTTGATTACGCAGAAGATGTTAAAGGCTGCACAGGTCTCACTGTGAATTAGGGCTTCTCTCTTCTTTTGACAATGACATTTTAATTCCTATAGACTTCATACATACTCACTGCAGACTTGAGATAGTTTACAAACAAACAGATGACCACAAAGTCAAAAATGCAGTAGGACAGAGTTAAATAACAATCAAAAAACCCCTCCAGAGCTGCGGAGACAAAAATGAAAATAAAGCACCAAGAACTCCTTAGCTTGAGAGACTGTTCCTTTCAGGCGTTTCGGTGTAAAGACTGGAGCTCTATCATTTCAGTCCTTAAGTACACACAAAGATGCTTCCTGAAATAAATCTAACAACCAATAGCCAACAGACAGCCACCACTGATTATTTAATTAAATTATGTATTGAAATCTCCATGGAGACAACTGAAAAATCTGTCTCCAATGTAAACGTATCAGCAAATATAAAAAACAGTAAGTAGTAATTACAAAAGACACCCTTTCTCCAAAATCTGAATGAACTACTTCAACAGCATGGATATATATACACACTTTAAAGTCTTCAAGGTGTGGTATACTATGAAAATCTTTTGCAATCAACTTTAACATCACTTACTTCTTTGTCATTACGGATATCTGTAATAGAAATGAATCTTAGTCAAGCAAATTTAACTAATTTAATGGTACCATTACAAAGAGTGTGTATATATATATATATATCTAGGCACAAAATTTCCTTGTTGCCTTCAGAAAAATGAACAAAAAGTAAACAAACTGTCTTATAAGGGTGGCCTGAGGTTAATCTACTGATATTGCTAGAAGCAAGACAACACAATCAAATGCTTCAAATTAATGTCTTGCAAGTATGTTATTTGTGGGTGACTATAAGCACTTTTAACAATACCACCATGAGAAGAACTCAAATAAGGAAAGAATTTCACAAACCAACCCAACAGAAATACCAAGCCTTTATTACAAAGAAAAATTATTCCACAGAAGAGGCTGGCTTGCTTCCATGCATGTTGTCACTCATATCCACCTGCTGAGGGGGGAGAAGTGCTTCTGCTCGATTCATTACTTCTCCAAGGCTTTGTTCTTGGCTACAGGTGCGTGGACATTTGATTCAAGAGAATTGCTTGCTGGAATTTTGTTGCCAGCATTGAATGGGCCAAAACAACGACCCTGACTGTTGGACAAGCCAAACACTGCAAGGGAAGGAAAAAAAATAAAATAAAAAATAAAAATAATCACACACTGGACACAGTTATCACTAAGAGAAGTCAAATGACTTGCTTTACATCCACATTGTAAATAATCTCACAAGCAGGGAAATGAGTATGCTTGAGTCTTATCTTCACTCGGGGAGCGTGAAGAATGTTTGCTGAATCCTTTTATTGGTACGTGCAAGCACACGGTCACGAAGCCTGAAAGCCAGCAGAACTAGACTGGATTCGTGTTATCTGTTGTTGTTGGGATTTTGAACAAAATTGATAGAGTATGAACCAGTTGATGAATCCTGTTTTATCTGAAAATTTTCTGTTGACAGGCCAAAGGGGCGGAGAACCAAATTCCCAAGATCCTTCAGTTTGCCTACAATGAAAGGAGAGATAACACCTTAAGTATTAAGCAGAGGGAAAACTCCCTTTGAATTATGCCCAACTACACAGCCCAGCTCTACAAATTTATCTACTAATTTAAGGTAAATGCTGTGGAAATGTCTGCAGTTTGTTGAACATTGAGGTGATTACAAAAAATATCCCAATTGTGATGCAGTTCCTGTCAGCTTTGGGTTTGAAAACAGCTCACCGTGCTGGTTTGGAACGGTTTGTCAGGCAGGCCTGACGGAGGCCCAGTGGCTGCAGAGCATCACGGCCGTGTGGTTATAGCTACACAGAAACACTTTATCTCCTCAGTTAGAAGCTCTTGAGGGACAAGAGTTTAACAGCTCACAGCAAAGCACTGGTCTCCCCTATACTTACAGCTGCCAACATTCAATTTTCTAACACAAAGTCTTCAGTTCTGCATTTCAGATGCAGCTACAGCTCTGTAAACCATCACGAATATTACAACTGCCCAGTTTCCTAGACTACCAAAAGTCACAATGAAAGCACAAGCTTAAACTGCTCATTTGTAAATATTAAAAATCCCTTGTAAAATCTGAATATTGATATAAAGAAAAATAAAACAAATCCATCCTTGCAATTCAGCAGTTCCACCTGAAGCACACAACTTTACAGCCATTTTCCCTGCAGAAAAGCTCAGTGTGATGTTGTGTGACACGACATCATTAACTCACTTCCAAAACTACAGTTCTCCAGGACGAACTTACTGCTGCTCAGAGCTCTAAGCAGCTATTATTTAACAAGCATTGTTAAATATACATAGAGTATGACAGTTAATAAAACCTAAAGGCTTCTATCAACAGATGGATCATACGTGCTTTCTGACTCTAAAAAATGAATCTTGCTACCACCGATAAAAGGGGATGGGCAACAAAAGGATATCCTTTTTACAAATTCACATCTATACAGAGATGATAGAATAGATAAAATGCATAAAATTAAACACAAAGCAGAGGTAACAACTTGTATGTTGGCTGAACACAAACTGAGCCGCTGGCACGACAAGCCAAAGGAGGAAGATGGTTACTTTTCCAAGGAAAACATTATTTTCCTCCTGGCTTCAGTGCAGAATTGGAGACTAATTTCCCAAAGAACAAACAGGAGGAGTTTGGACAAGTTGAACCCTACCCTAAGTTTGCATCCACTGGCTACACACCACCTTTCACAAAGCCTTCTACCTTTACCAGATCTTCAAGGCAATGGTTTTTGTTTTCCTGGGAGTTTTGTGCGTGCACATGGTGGGGAAAAAGTGCCACCACCACTAGCTGGCACACAGGAATTCCAACTGAGCAACTGAGGTAGTCACAATCACGTAACCAAAATGTGCAAATGCCACACCTATTCCTCCTTGCACACGTGTGCTTTCTGCAAGCCATCCTGAGGAACTTCTCTTATTCTTGTCATCGTCACCTTTATTTCTATTTCTAAGCTAATATATTAGAATCTAACTGCAAAGTCCTATAAACACTTATTTAGTTTCTTTGTTTTTCCTAAGTTCTTTTGTTTGTTTGAAAACCCTGTTCTCAAAACAGAAATGATATTCAAGTCTGAACTTATCCCACGGAAGCGTGCCCCTTGTCTCTTACAATAGCTGAAGACAGGTTAAACATCATCACCGCAAAACAAAATATGCTTTTTTTTTCTATCACATTTCCAAAATTGAATTTGGGGCAGGGGAAGCTGTTTTGAACCCATTCACAGAAAATACAAAAAGAAACAATAGCTGGTGAAAAATGTAAAGATTTTAATCTAAGGAACATCTCAGTCCTGCATAAAGAAACTAACAGCTGGCATTACTACGGCACTGCTAAATATGCCAAAATAACTAAGATCTTGCATCAAAGTGCTGCTTCACACCTGGGTATCTTTCAGAGATTTGTGTAATTATTTTAAAGCAAGATGAGTTTTTGAGCGTCAGCATGGAAATTCCGTGGCCTTACACAGGAAAAAAAAAAGACCACCTTAGCCTACAAAAGCAGCTAGTTGGTGAGACAGGATTTTTCCTCAATTTGATTTTTTTTTAACTTTTTGGATTAACAGATGAGGTGGTTGAACGATCTGGTCAAAGTCATTCCAGCGAGTGGCTCAGGTAGGATTAGCTTTTTTGTACCAGTGGTGGGGTTTTATTTTAAGCTACATCCTGTTTAAGCCAAGTTAACTATTAAGTTCATGATTTTATACTGCATCCTAAAAGCATTTTGGTTATAAAACTATAAAAGTTGTTCACAGCATCTCTACGACCGGGATGAATAGTTGCCATTGTACTTCTAGACAAACATTTGGTCATTGTTTAGCTTCAGGTTCCGGGTGAGAAGTGTCTTTGTCTGCTGGTGGGAGAGCCCTGGCAGGGGCTGGCGTTGCTGGAGGGGGCTGTACACAGCTCACAAGTTACCCAGGCCCCGCAGCTGCCTCGGGAGCAGGCAGACCAGTCTGCCCGTTTCAGGAAACTGTGAAAGGTCTTTTCTAATTGGAGTTAGTACGATGGCTCTTTTCCGGTCAGACTGGAGCCAATAAACACAGAACAACTGCCTGGGTATTCTTGCTTGTAGCTAGGGCAGCTCCTTAGGAGAAGCTAAAGACTATGTGATATATTTAATACTTTATTCTTCATCTCACTGTGACTGAATAATTAAAACAATACAGTCATAGGTCACCTTCCTGTTCTATCACTTAAATCCACATACAGCAATGCCTTTTGGTGCAGCCACATTTAATAAATTGTTAATGAAGCAGAAGAAAGCCTTGCCTTTTCCGGGAACTCGAGCCCAAAGCACTGCTCCTGCTGTCTTGGCTCACATAAACCCATCATTGTAGGAAAGCACTATTTCCTCCTCCCCCACTCTCCTTTCATCCCTAAATTAAGATCTGTAGTTAAGTGGAGCCTCCCCCTCCCCCAAAGAAAAGCTCTCTTAAAGCAGGGACTGTGCTTGAAGGAAGGAAAAAGGCATGTGGAGCTGTGACTCAGCTGCACAGAGTTCTCAGCAGCCAGACACTCACTTGTCCCGGAGCAGGGTCACATCCTCCTCCCTGAGACTGGATTTTCATAGATTTTCTTCTTTATATTTCACAGAGCCTGTGTCTACTTATCAGCTGGAACTCCAGCACGTTAAGTTTCTTCAGCAAAGCAACATTCAGAGGTTAAAGAGAAAACTAACTGGTAAAAATCAATTCAGGGCTCAGAAGCCTGTGATTCATGACTCACCTGACCTGCAACGTTACATCCTGCTGCAAAGGCAGACGCACAAAAAGATTTCTCACGATTTACATTAAGATGTAACAGCCAAAATTAATTGCTATTCTGTCTTTCTGGCAATTCTTCTAGTATAGTTGCTGGTGTTAACGCAGGGTTTGGAAGTTGAAAAGCTAGATATTGTTTATGTTAAGAGGTTTTTTTGGATAAAAGACAAATTTCCGCATGAGGTCTCATCTTTGTATAACTTTCTGTACTACCAACAACATTTCTTAAGCAATTAAAAGAGTGAGAGCGAATCTTTTCCCTTCCCTAAATGGTAAGTGAGGACTGAACTAAAAGTAACTGTATATTTGCTCTGGTTTGAACTATTTAAAGCAACATCTCTCTATACAGTATTGGGGTTTAACAGCTTAGTTGCAAATACAACAGACACTTCAATATATTAAAAAAAAACCAACAAACCCAATCTAATTCTTTAGGCACTAAACCTAATAAATATCTTTGCTGATCTCACGTAGCTGGAAAAACCTCTTATTGGCAGAAAGGCCCAGGTGATACGCTCTGATAGGCCTTGCCATTAATCACACTGATAATCAAGTACATTTCACTGTTTTCTGGAATGCACTCGTTTATATCTTAAGTCCCACCAGTTTTTAATTAGATTTGCTGAAGTCTGTGTGTATAAAATGAGTTACACAGATTGGCTTATGTTTGTAAGTCTCCAATATACTCAGCTCCCCTGTAGCCACGCAGGAAACTTCATATTGTCACAGCCCTCAAGCTGCTAAACCTTCCTCAAACTATTCCAAGCTTCCCCTCTTCTCACACCCTCTCCCCAAAGGAGCTGGTTCTAGTTATCACAATAATTAGTTTCTCTAAACAAGACTAGGTTGTTGCACAATAGCTGGAAATCTTTGGCTTTAAAGTCAGAAGTGAAATAAAAAAGAACACAGAAAACGGTCAGGGAATGTTCATGTCCTGAGCAATTCCTAAGGCAGAGGACGCTCACGTTCTGGAAGCGTAAAGGTAGAGCCACAAGGATTTAAAAGCTTCTTTTAAAGTGTGCTATAAGTTAAGCTTTCATTAATGTGAAACTCAGAGGTTAGTTCGTATTGAGCAAAGTTCAGTGGCAAGTGGCAGCACCAACCTGCAAAGGCGGAATGGAAAATATGAAAATAATTTAAATACAAATGTCAGCTTTGGAAAAGTTATACCCTCGCAGAACACACAGCAGAAATGGACTTGGTTTGGCAACAAAACATACTTTTTCTAGTGACATCAACTCCATCAATCACATGCACGACCACTTGCACACAAGAATTCACAGTGAGGTAGTCTGGAATAAAAATCCAGCCAAGAATGTGTGCTCTGATTTATTTACACACAATCACTTAATAAGTGGTTTCAGCTTCTGACAAACTATGTGGTAACGAGCTGTAGCACTGGAAAACAGGAAACACACTTGGGGAGGGAGGAAGATACACTGTATTTGTTTTGGTTTGCTTGTACACAGCTCCGCTTTTCATGACAGTCTTAGTTGGGTATAATACCAGGACTTAAGTTTTAGTTAACAGAATAAAAGCCTCGAAAAACAACGTTTCTGGCTGATCAATTGACTAAAATAAGAATTCAATTCAATATCCAAACTTCAAAGGAGCCAAAGAATGAAGTGTGACATTCTTGCTAGAGATTTTGTTGGTGATTAATTTAAACTTAGTGTCAGTGCCCCTGGACCAGGCCTGCCCTGGAACTATTAGCGTTAACAGCAGCGTGCATCTGACTTGCCTTCCAGGAATGACAAAATCTGGGGTACAACCCAGAGACCTGAGCTGAGTCCCCTGTGAGAAGAACGAATCCTTGCACACCTGGCACTCTTTAACCAGCAGATAATCTCACAGATTAGCACAAGCAATTGTCTATCCTGACACAGTACTCAGTTGGTAAATAGCATTAACAAAATTCTCGAAAAATAAAAGTTGAAACAGCTTAAACCAAATACATTGTACAACCAAAAAAATCCAAAGAAATCTCTTAACCACCACACTGTTATCAGGTTTGTCTTCTTTCACTCCTCCCAGAACTCCCATCTAATCCCTCTTCTTTAACTGTAAGGGTTTTTCCTTGACCTCAGATGGAACAGCAGCATTTTGTAAACCTTGGGAAGTATTTCCTTCCCAGGCCTTCATTGTCAGACCCATGGCATCACCGCTATCTCTCTTACTGACAAGATACAAGGAATTTTGTAAAACTTAAACCCAGTTGACGCCATATAATTTCAAGACTATGTATGACAATTTATATGAATCCTGTCACACACAAAGGTTGTGGATGAACATAGGGTTATATGCTGGACTACCCCACTCTTCATCTGTTTTTCCTGGCTGTTTGCAACAGTAAGCAGCAGTGTATCTCCTTGCACGTACGTAACATCATTGAGAAGGGATTCCTTTCTTGAGAATCCCAATCTAAACAGCCTGACCTGGTTCCCAAAAGATCAGTTCAGTTCTGAAATCCTAACTGCCACTGGATTAACACTTTTTAAAAAGATCACATCCAGTCTGAACTCTAGGCAAAAATCAGCAGTATAGAATTAGGTTTGTAATGGCAGTTTATAAAGCTGCATTTATTGTTTCAGTATCATCCCTTGTGACGAGTGAGGCCTTTAGACATTGGTAACAACAGCACAAAAGGAAAGTTCAAAAAAGATCAGGAATTGTTTTCATATTACATTGGGTTGAAACCCATCCCATGCCCTACAAATGGGCTTGATCCTTCTAGAGATTTTCTGCATTTGTCATTTTATAGCACCGTCACACTTAACCTTCCTTATTTATGGCTTGTTCTAAATACAATGGCGGAAACAGAATCTGATGATGGAAATCTCTAGAAAACCTCACTGCAACTTTACTAGGTCAAAATAGGTGGAAAGCAAGAGCTAATCAGACTCCCTGCACAACAACAAAAAAAAATTTAAAGAAAATAGCAGCTTCAGCATAAGCCCTTGAAACAGTCTCTTCTTCCCAAATATTTTAAGAATTAGTGCTACAGCGTGCAAGACAGAGTTTATTTAACCTCATTCTCTGCAGAATAGCAAAACACTGTCTTCCCCTTTCCTGACCCAAACCCTCAAAGCCTACTTATGTTAAAATAACATTTCATTTACTACTTGTCACACCTAGAATGAGTAAAGAGGTTAACTATTGGAAGCTATTTCTGAAACAGGTTAGGTACAGTTAGTTTATCTTAAACTGCCATTTGTCTGTGCTCTTTTGTGTGCATTTTCTAAACAGGACAAATGAAAAGATTATGTAAAAAAAAACCAAACAAAAACTAATTTTAAAAAACACCAGAATGTCAGATTGGCTTATGTAGTGCCTGAACCTGTAAGAATTAACATCCCTGTTATCTAGGAGACAGGAGACAATGCTGACAGCAGTCCCCCCAAAAATGTTAGTTTAACCACAACACTGTGAGCAGTGCAAGGAAGTGCTTTATACTTGAGATGACACATGAAAACCAATATTGCTTGGGCAATCTTACTTAAGTAGTTATCCTTTTGACATACATCAATCCAGTTAAGATATTATCCAAGCAATACCATACAACACGACGATGGGGGCACATACATTCAAATGAGTTATATTCAGTAAATTCTCCTTTGTACAAGCAAGTAGAGTCAATAGCAATAGAACTGTAAAAAGTCAAGACACAATGAGCTACAAAGTTAGGAAATCTAATTCCACTCCTAGCAAGGCCAGGTGTCTGTTGGTAACACAAAGTAGGTCTAATTCAGCCTCCACACATAGGGAACTGAAATACTATATAAATCAAGGTAAACATGAAGACTTGGAGGTATATAGGTTGGAAGTGCTACAAAAAGTACTAGAGTTATTTCTTCAGACACAAGATCCAACATGCTCAGCTGTTACAGCTGGCTGACTTCTTTTACTTAAAGGTTTAGTGAAAACCCTGTTTTATCCCTTTCATGGGAATGTTTCCTTTGAAGGTTTACTTGTGGAGAGAAAGGGCAGAGCAGTTGGTCTATTTCAAACCATTTTCCCCTGCTTTTACATGCATTAATATTTCATTGGTTTTGGTCTTGAGTATTTCTTTCTTTAAATGTAACTAATAAATTTTTCTGTACGAGAGAATTATTTGGCTAGAACTTACTGTACGTGAAACCAAGAAAGAGAGCTAGACAGAAATCAGGAGTTTTGTTTAACACAGAACAAGTATTTCCTTTAAGATTTACCTTCTTTAAATTTTATATGAGAGATTCTACTCATGCATTTTTCTTTTTCTAGATTATTACGCTAATTATACATATATGCTACTTACCTAACATTTCTTTCTTTAATTTTTCATTCCGCTCTTCAATTTGTCTAGGTAATCGCTGTGGAGAGAGATGAAAATTGTTTATGCTTATGGAATTGTCATACACATATCCAGGACACACTGTTTATGGCTTAAAAGGAACCCTTATTCAAGCCACCCTTTCATCTTATTTTGGAAACCTGTAATTCAACCGATGACATCAGTTCACATAAAGAGTAAGTTGTAACTTGTGAGTGCAGGTTTCATACAGACATACATTTTTGCTGCTGAAAAACAGATCTGATCTATTTGCTTGGGATTTTAGCTGGAAAGCTTATGAAATTTAAGAGGCTTACAATTAAAGTGTATTTTAACCCTGTCTCCTCTGCTGCATTCATTGAATTTGGTAAGAGAGACTTGAGCAACTAAGCAAGCGCAGCGCTTGAGTTTTGAACATAAACACTGGTATATAATGAGGAAAACATCCATAAAGTCAGTTCTCAGTGGCATCATACTTACGGGAAATCCGCACTGTGAAAACACTGAAGTCTTCTAAATACAAATATTTTATCAGAAGATCACTTAATTAACTGCCCATGAACTTCAGGACATAGTTTAACGAGCAGCATCTTATTACACAATATATGGCCTAGTGCTAAGGAGGAGGGGCTATTACAAATGGGGGCCTTGACTTGGCAATCGATCATGGGGAGGGAACTCCCCCAGTTCATCCTCAGCAAGGTACTAGTCCAAGTAACAGTTCATTAATGTGCTTCTTCCCACCTCAGAACTGGCACCAGTGTTAAAATCTGTTGCACCATCACAAATAAACTTATCACATGCTTCTAATATGCATTATGTATGGTCTCTGCATTCCTAATGATTTGAGATTCTCATTTATGCCTAGAACAAGCTGTGGCTCCTCTTCCATCCCTACACAGTACTAGTGTTTTGCTATGTGATTGCAATGATAGTTTTTAATTAGAATTTTATATTCACTAGTTAGTCATAGTTAATACAATTTATCATTGTATCATTGAATTATAGCATTTTCCATACATCCGTTAAATACAATATTAAACCAAAATATATTACACATGATAGTAACTTTTTATACATCTTTTTCAAAATTTTCAGAAGTATTATTTCAAGCTTTTATACTGTGCTTCCCACTGTATAATTCTGGCAGTTCTGCATGCAATTATATATATAACTATACTGTCTCTTCTTGTGGAGGTCACAGCAAGTAAGACAGATGTGCTGCAGTGGTGCTATCAGGAAACTGATTACAGTTGCAGACCATGGTAAAAGGTATGGAATTCACTCCTGATACACCTCCCTTGTGGTAATTGGCTTCTCAACATAGTTAAAGAATTCATTTCCTAATCTAGTTCTTTCCTGTCACCTACAGCTCCAGTCATCGTGAGTAGGTTTGTCATCCTGATACTATTGCCACAGTGAAATAAGATGTTCACCTCAAGAGAAAGCCCACTGCCAAGGCTGCCTGAGTATTCCTCTCCTCTGCAATGCAGAATACGCTGGTGAACGCAGGCAAATACAGTTCATTTTCTATAGCAGTGGGGAAGAGAAGTAGTATACCCCAGAACAAAAAAAAAAACCAACAAAACCAAACAAAAAACCCCCAGAAAACTGAGTACTGAGGAATACAATGCAGATATATTTGGATGGCTAAGCTTGAAACCAGCCCAGGCCCAGCATCACCACCAGTGAACCAGATCTAATTAGCCCAGTCAGACCTCATCTGACTCCTGCTGACCCAGAGGGGCTTATTAAGTTGGGTGCAGATCTGGACCTAAGCTGCCTGCATGAAAACATGTGTGGATATCCCCAGGCTCTAAATTCAGTTTGTACTGTGGCTGTGAGGTTTGCTGAATCTTGGATGAGTTTGGCATTATATATAGTGTGTGTCTCACATTTGGACATTAGGCTTTAGCAGGAAACAAAGACACAAATCCTTCATCTAAAATACATACTCCGTGTTTTGTCTGTCTGAATACTACTATTCCAAAGACGCAGCATTTCTCACTCCAGAAATGTATTTGCAAGGTCAGTTATCTATAGAAAGGTGTCTGTTATCTGGTGTCTATGATACTTATCTCAAAGCACAGCTTCTTTTGGTAACTAAGTTTCTCTCTCCTGACAATCCCTCAAAAACTGCACTGAAGCTAAACTTGACATAACGCTGTTATATACCTGCTAAAAACAAAACCTAAAGATTGATACTATATAATTAAACACTTTCTGGGGAAGCATCAATAGGGAGTATTTGACTGCAAAACGTTATATTTTCAAACTCTTTCATTTGGCATTGAAGATGTCAAAAGTAACTACAGTGCACACCACCAGGATTTAAATCAAAACACTACCGCTGTACTCGTGAAATATAAACAGTAGTAAAATTTTAGAGCAGCAACCAAATCGGGAATCAAAGCAAAGAATACTGTGTATTTCATATTTTTAAACTGCCATTTAACAAGACCGTGACATTCCCTAAAGCAGTATGTGAAATATTTTCTGTGTACAGGAAGGAGAAAGATTTGCTCTAACAATGAATGAAGCTCATCTGCAGATTCTCTTGATGCATCATTTTCATTACCGGTGAGGGGGAAAAACTGCTGCGATATTTCTGCAAAGAGCAATGCACTTTACCTTACAATAAAGCAAAGCTTCTTAGTCTCCTACATTTTTAGATAACCACATATCTGGTCAACATTACAGCTGGAATTTTATTATGAAATTTAGATATTTATTATGAATATTTTAAAAAGTGTAAAACCAGCAGTCAGGATTTCCTTAACAATTTTTCATGAGAGGAGTTCAGTCTTAGAAGATTGCTTCTACCCTGAAACTTGACAAAGAACAGGAGCAACTCAGGGCAGAATGTCCTAAATCCCACCACAGTGTAAACTGAGAGCATTTTGTACAAAGTGTTCAGCACCACATGTGAGCCTAAAGCCTCTGCCATAGTAAAATGAGGTCAAGGAGCAGAAGGTATGCGAAATAGTCAACCTCTGTACTTCCCAGCTACAAAAATTAAGAATAAATTACTGATCATTCTAAAACATTCCTGAAAGATGGCCAGGAAGAGCAGCAGCACTGTTTATGATTCTCTTCTAGCCTGAATCTCCGCTGGTTACTGAGCAAGAACTCTGTTGTGAGACTACTGGAGGCATGCTCACTGTAAAATAATTGTGGTTTTGCAAGAGGTATAAAGGGCAGTATCTATACTTTCAGGGCGTTCCAATCAGCCAAAACATGTATTTTAAACTTCCTACATCTTGTACCAGCTACAGTGGTACAAAACCCAGTGTCCCCAAATCTTAATCAGTAGAGTCCTGACTGCCTGATCCTCACAGTTGTCCTTTGTATGATGAGCTGCTAAAATGCACTCCTCATACACTAATGCTGTTTTACCAAGTAACTGGCTAGATTACAGTAGGCCTCACTCCGGAGCTGGTCTAACGCTAAAAGACTACAAGCTACAGAAACTAAACCCCATCGTTTGCTTTAGAAATGTTCAGCAGAGACTTTGGCTGAATTCCTGGATCAAATAAGCCATAGTCTCAGCTAGGAGACTATAAACAAGGCCAACACAAATACTCTTTTCTAGACTGTGATGGACCCATCACGTTCACTACCCATGCAGTAATGATGTTTGACAAGCCCATCATTTATTAAGCCATTGCCAAGAGCTAGGTGATAGAGTGCTCTCCTGCTCTCATCCAGATGCATGCAACAAGCATCAGGGGGCTGTTTCGCAGCGCAGCAAACTGACCTTCTCAGTGGGTGCTGCCAAAAGGGATGGCCCCAGTTCCTGCACTGCCTTGACCACGTCTTCTTTCCTTCTCACTAGCATTTGCAGTAGGGCTTGTCTGACTGCAAAAAGCCAAGGCAATATAAAAGTATTTACTTCGGGGCTGTTTGGTTGCTGGCTTTTTTTTTTTTTTTGCTCGCTTGTTGTCGCTTTTCCCTTTAGCAGAGTTAGCTCTCTGCCAGAGCCATCTCAGAACCAGCCGTCCCCCGGGGTCGGACACGCGCTCGCACCAGCGCTCGCACAAGGAAAACAACTGGGCGGCTCTGGAAGCAGCGGGCAGTTGGCAGATCAGTTCAGCTCTTCTGTGAAACCATACCCTTACACAAGTTACACAGTTAAGCAGAATATTTTTCTGCCATCACTGCAACTGATCCAGTCCCAAAGGAAGCAATTTCAGGCAAGGCTTCTTGTCTAATACTCTGTAAAAGCAGTTTCTAATCTGTCACTTACAACACCATGGTATGGAGAAGGGGGGGGCAAAATCACTACTAATGATTTATTTTCCCAAATGGAGAGTCAAAACAGATAAACCTAAGCCTTTCAAAAATATTTCTGGATCAACATATTCAAAGTTTAGAGATAATTTGGTGGGTGAAGCAAATGATTTTTTTTTTTCTTTATGGGGAAGGATACATTGCAGGTTCACATGTGAAGCTTAACTAAAATAATGATGCCCTTTGAAAAATTGACCAGATATAAAAATAAGTCAAGTATTGGCATATGGATATGGGTGCCCAACTAAGAATTGCATTTTGAAATTGCATCCATTTACCTTAAAATGGAAGTGAAGAATAGTTTGGCTATCGTTTTCCCTGCAGAAGATGCTCACCTCTTTCCAGGCTCTGGTGCTTGCAAACCGTTCATCTACCATGACCTCAAGCTCCCACTTTGATAAACAGTGACCACCACTGTACTTTTTATAATGGCTACCTTTCATTAGCACATGTTCCTTCAAAACCACAGGCTGTCTGGCCACATCTCTATCGCATTTGTCCTATCAACACAGCCTTCAGAACTTCGTATCAAAAATAAGAACAGCAAGCATCCTGTAAGAGGAGCTTTCTGCACAAAATAGATTTCCCTTCTTACTACCCTTGTGAAAAGACTCCCTGAACTTGTCAAATCCACAGCTATTTTCCACACTGAGCACTGCCATACTAAATATCACTAGAAAAATCACTTCCTGCTGGTATTTTACACAAAGAATTGTTTAAAACCTCAAATCAGCAGGCTGTGGCAGTGACTCTAAATCCCCCTTGAGTAAGGATTATTTACATGTTAGACTGGGGGTTCAGGAAGTGCTAGGGGTTTACCTTTTTTTCATCCAAGCTAATATACCCTAAAGGCCAAGGAAATTTTTCAAGCATTTCCTTAACAGAGATATGGGAAAGGTTCCACAAGAAATGTTTAATCCTGAAGTATTTGTAATTTGATTGAAAGTGGACATTGGAACACAGTACTAAGCTGCAGAATTTTGTTTTTGTTTTTTATTTTAGAACAAAGAGAGTAACTGAATAATGAGAGTGCTGTTTGCAACTACAAAGTGCCCTTTTCTTCAAATGAAAGCCTAAGTTTTTGAAGATTAATAGCAGACTTCAGTCATTATTAGTAAAATAACTCCAAGTGGCCAACACACACACAAGGCGTAGCAAAGAACAAGAACAGAAAACAGCTAAACCAAGAAACAAAAATATCAACATTTTAAAGTAGCCAAAAACATAGATACAAACTGACACAACCCTGTCTCTTGTCATACTCAAAGTCATATAGCCAAGTCATAGAAAAAAAAAAAAGTAATTATTTTATAATTATGCAATAAAGGCATTCGAACTGCAAATTTACTAATCAGAAAAATAATTCTACTGAAAGAAAACCAGACTGCCACTAATTAAACATCTAGCAAGAACTGTATTATAGGGTGCTTGTATTCTGGTTTTGAAATTGCAGTTCCTTATTAAAATGATAGCTACTAAATGCAGCAGTATTTAGGCAACCTTTTCTAGCACATGCATAAATACAATTAACAGCCTCAATCAGAAAACTAGAAAGAAGTATGTCTGTGTGTGCACGGTATTCAACAGTTAAACATGCAATTACATGTTTACAGCTCAGAACACCTGTTTACTTTCACTCATTTTACAAAGGTAAAAAGAAGACTATGCTTTATGGGCCTGAGACTTGTCATGGAAGTTGTGGCAGTTGATGTAATATTCCTTACGTAAAACCAGATGAGAAAACCACTACACTTTCAGTCTCAAAAAAACCAAGTTATCACCACTGCATATGAAGCTCCTTGCATAAACAGCACTGAATATTTAGAACAGGAAAGAAAAGACCTTGGTTTAAAGTTAGGCCAAAGTATACTAAAAAGGCTTACCATGCAAGCTTCTCTGGCTTGAGGAACTGATGGGTCTTTTTCTAGGACTGCCTTATAATCTTCCAGGGCTTCATCTAGTTTTTCTGTTTTTTCATACAGTTCTGCTCTCCGCAGCAAAGCTCTAATATAGTTAGGATCCAATTCCACTGCTAGAAAACAAAACCAAAGCTCAAATGAATTCTTGAGTATGTATAAATTCTTAAAAGTTATCTTTATAATGTAGCTTAGAATCAAGCAGAGTCACAGTTTAAAAGCTAAGTCATAATTCAGAAAGGCATACATTTCCCTGTGAAAGTCTAATGCAATGATCCTATTTCATTTAATGTCTACAATCTGCCACAGACAGAAGTGATTTATAATGCACAAACATTTAATTTTGCAATACTATATATGCAGAGATTCTAAGCAACCCTTCAGAAATTTTAAGGACCCGTAAGATATTTTTCAGCTTTTGTATATTTAATAAGTGTGTATTATTAGATTACAGCTACAGTTAAATATACCCAAAGATACACATAGCAGGGAAAATAAGTATTCCCCTGCTTATCTCAGTTCAAGTTGAGACAAACTCCAGAACTACTGGTGTTCTTCTGAATTTAGTATCAAATGGTCAAAATTGGGTTGGGAATCCACAAGCTTGTATTAGCCCTACACGTTTGCAGAGGGACATACTGACTGAATTTAAGCTTTTCCTCCCCTTATTCCCTTGGCAGCCATGACTGTGTTTACAGATGCAGTTAAGACTGAATGCTAAACTTAGCAGAAACCTGCAAATAGTAATTTCTCAAGAATTTCTTCATCTATTTTTCATCATAGAAAGACTGGAAATTTTATAATTACTAACCCATTAAAAATGTTTCTTGGGACAATTAATTAAATCTAGGATTATCTAGCTAAATATTCTAACTTAATTCTTCTGAAAGGACAAAGACAATGCTACAGTCAGCAAGCTGCAGGTTGGTGTGAATTGCTCTGCTGTGCTCCAAGTGTTGCATTGCAGTTTGTGAGCCAAGTCCCTGGGGAGTGTCAAGCGATGGTAGGTTTATGTCTCACTGCTGCAGAGCAGACCGATTCCCTTTCAGCCGCTACAAAATCAGCAGAAGTGTTTTTTCAAAATGCACCACCACCAAAACAAGGCAAACCCCCAAAGTGACAAAGGCCAGCTAGAATTTTTTACCTTCAAGAGTACTTTTAGCGTGCACAAACTCATATTTACTGTACAAGCAGTACTGGCACACAGCCATTGGATTAGTCTTCTGATTGGTAATTTGGACTTTTTTCCCCAGCTGTCATGGGGAGTTTAACAAATATTCGAGCATGGGTGAGTGGGTGGAAGCAATACAGCAATGCACAGCTGAAATGAATTCACCAGAAGTTGCAGAGAGAAAACTATGCAGGACAAGAACGGGAGAGCATAAGCCCTTCTGACAAAGCAAAAGCCTTGTATAAAAGGGACTTGATAATGCTTTTAATTCTATAAAGCCTCACAGTTCTTTGGAATCTGGGATTAAACCAAAATCAGGGGGTGGGGGGAAATGGCAGGTGGAAGTGGGTTTAAAATAGTAGGTGTAAAGAAACAGCTTCCATAATGAAAAGACTTTGCTATTAAAAAGAAGTACAAACAGCAACCTTATCGCCGCAAGAGAATAGAAACTAAATTATTACAGACAGGAAAAGTCTGACAGACATTTTACAAAATAAATAATTTTGGATTCAGGTGTCTTCCACCAGAGCTTTTCTATAAATTCTTTGAAGACCCTTATGCCCAAAATTACGGCTCTGCAGTAAGGCACTAAGTGGCAGAATTTATGTATGAAAGCTCTGGCACAAGAGTGGCACACTGAAAAAAAGTCCTACCTTTGCTGCAGTCACCTAGGGCAGCTTCCGTCTTCTCCTAGAACACAAACCAGTTTTGTTATACTTAAATCATATTTGTTGGGCAAGAGATTATTTGCAACTCCAAGCCAATGGTTTGTCTGGCATTCCAAGGAATTGGGTGTTCATGTAATCAAGGCTTTTCATACCATTGCTCTTGCTGTAAAGCTCTTTACTGGTGATTAGCTGCCTCTGCGAAGGCTGCCTGTGTTCCCGCTGCACGGCCGGCAGCGCCGCTCAAAAGGCTGAGTCACATCTGCAGGCCTTGGCTTCACCGACCTGCAGCTTTTCTCCCTTTCTCAATTAATTAAGGGGTTGGAATAGACAGTTCCCAAGACTCCCAGATAAATTCTTGTCCGTAACAAGACATTTGGAAAGCAGGCACTGACTTTAGCACTAATACAGCTTTCTCTACAAGGGACAATGCATGAGACTTCCAGAAGTGGTAGGGACAAGATCTTAGCACACCCAGACAACCACAGCAAGGAGATGAGAGCCCGGCAATCTGCTTAGAATAAAATAATAAAATATAAAAAGAACCACAAAAACAAACAAACAAACAAACAAAAACAACCCAAAAAAACCCAAAAACAAAAAACAAAACAAAACCAAAAAAAAGAGCTGAGACAGAGATCAAATCTTCATCCAGACTCAAAAGGCTTTTAAAAAAATAAAATTAAAAAAAGCAGGTTGTTCCATGCATGTATTGTTGATCTAAGTAGTAGTAATCTTTCTACACCCAAGTAACTATTTTCTCCTCCATGAAACAGAACTGCCCGAGAGATTCTTGCCTCATGAGCTTTTGTTGTAGTGCAAGGCAAATGGCAGCAGCAGGTATGGAAGAACAAACTTAATGGGGAAGTTATTAACAGTATGACTCTATTTTCAGAATAATATATTGGTCTGTCGGGTTCCAATGATCTATGCTGGTGAGATACACTAGTTTGTGCAGTTCTTTTATCATCTTGGGCTCATTTGGGGACTATTAGATTAGTTTCCTAGTGATATGAATAGCTAATGTGGATTATAAGGAGTTTTTTCAGTTTACAGCTTTCATTATTTGAAAGGTTCCAGCATCTGTTATTACAGATTTTATTCCATTTTTTCCTTGTCTGCTCAAACAATTCAGTATCCCAACAGCATCCCAAGCAAGTTAGATAATTCTGGCTGAACAAGAGTAGTCTACACAGAGTAAGAATTTACTTATTTATGCCTGAATATGGCTCCAGGGTATGTTTCTAAACAGAGCTGCATCTGTCTCAATACTGGAGTAAAACTGCAAGAAAGTTCCCTTTGCAGGAGGGTAAACTGAGGATAGGAGTTACTGTGCTATTTTTCTATAATAATCTTAAAATAATCTTAAAAACAAAGGCAAAAATAGGGAGTAATTTCTCCCCTATTATGAAATGAAAGTGAAAGCTTCCGTTTACAGAGATCGTGTTCTGTGCCCTCCGTGCTGCCTAAGCCCAGTGCTGACTCTGGTAACATCTGGGCACCTGTCCCTGGTCAAGGAACAGAAAACCTATGGAGAAAGCTGCACCCATCCTATCTAGACCATGCCCTACCTGCAGCAGGTCTGTCCCTACTACACAGAAACTGTGAAGGGAACAGACTAAATTAATAAAGCCATAGTTAGGAAGTCCTGCTTATGCCTCAAAGCATTTTAGCCAATTAAATTAAGACAAGTATCTGACAATGCAGGCTTTTAGAAAAAACACTAACGAGCTACAATTCTAAACAATCTAATACATGGTCTGCATACATTAACGTGCTTAAAGACATCTGTTCCACATGAACTTTGAATTTCATTAAAATAGAGAAAATGAAAGAAAAATCAGTATTTTAAACATAATGCAGAAGAGCATCTTTGAACAGCTGTTCCAACTGCAGCTTTCAGGTTGGTTTTCATCCTCAGGAAAACCAAGCGTACCAGCATTTCTACTGGGAGCGTGAGAGACTGAGCAAGCAGCAAAACCTGCAAACAGCTTTACTCTTTTGCCCTCCTTTATGCTCCCCCAATGACTTCATTATTGCATTTGTCATGTAATCAATACATGGTATTTCATAACAAGAATATTCACCTGTTTCATTTTTGCAGCAGCTCTGTTTGAAAACAAAACAGCCCTATCTTTCTGGAAGCAGGCGGGACAGATCTGCAGAGCCTTCGTGTAAGAGTCTTCTGCCTCTCCATAGTCTGCAGATGCAGTAGGAAAAAAACAAAACACACCATTTATTTCAAATGTCAGTACAGTCAGTGAACCACATGGCTAAGATTTCTTTGGAAACATTTCTCAATATATGATGCAATATTAAACCGGGATCAGCATCTGCTTTCAGACAAAGTGCATTTCTAAGTAGTACATAGATCAATGACAATTAATTATTTCAAAATCAACACCCTTGTAAAAGCAGAAATATAGTCCTGAGTTTAATGTAACAAGTATAGCATGACGTGCATGTAATTCTCATCCCTGAAATTGTTTTATTCTATTTAAGTACCAGCCTTAGAGGTAGAATCCCTTTAGATTAAGTGTATCCTTGATCTGAAAGGAAGCACGTGCTGAAATGTGTCACTGCACCAATACCTGTTCAAAGCAGCTATGAAGATATTTTATTTGCCATATCATCTTCAATAACTGACTTAAAGGTCAGTCACCACAAACCCATTATCGCCCGAAGGTCATCCGTCATCCATCATCCATCTGGTCTAAAGCAAGGACCACTGGAAAACCACATGGGATTATCAAGTTATTCGTTTTCCAATAAAGGTACAGTCAAGAGCGAGCAGGCCCCATAGCGACTCTGAACAATGCCCTGCCAGCTGACAAGTGCATTGTCCTCAAAACAGAGCAATTCTTGCTGTGCACATTAGCTGGTGACCATCCAGGTCCTTCAAAGGTGGTGTGTTTCTGATTAGTAAGCACTTTGGCAGGCACAGGCACACCGAAAAGATCTGCCAAAGAATTTGTCAAGAGGCTATGGATGAGACTTCACAAGATGATTCAGCCAACACTACAAGCTTTCATTCCTTCTGCCTCCTCTGATGCTTGCTTGAATTGGTAAATCATTCCCCAGGAATATGGCTCTCCTAGCACACAGTAAGAGACCTCCAACACAAAGGTCACTGCCTGGTTATCAGGGACTTCTGGGAAGGGGAAATTAGTCATTTGTGTCCCTGCAGACAGAAGAAAGTATGAATCTGCATTTCCTGGATTCTTTGTGAATCCTCTAGCCACCAGAACATTAAATGAAAGGTAGGTGTCAAAATCACTTCCCCCTTTGTGTTTTTTAATTAAAAGTATTGTTACAGTTATTTATTACCGACCTCAACCCCGTTGTTATGTATTACCTAGGTTCTGAACAAGTCCCGTTTTGGCATAAGCTAGAAATTTACATACCTCTAAATCAGTTTTTGTAAATACATGTACGTGTGTGTGTACGTGTACATCTCTATATATACACATACACATGTGTGTACATCTCCATATACATGTATATATGTATGTATACACATGTGTATACATGTATATAGATGTACATGTAAGTACTTATAGATTGTATATGTATATATAGTTGTCTATATTTATGTACACACACATACGTAAATAAAATATATAACAGAGTCAGTGGATAAAAAGAAACATGCAACTCTACAAAGGTAGGAGAGAGCTACTGAGCCCCTGAGTCCTGCATTAGCAAAACTCAAAGCCTAGTGGAAGCCTTTTTTGATTAGTAAAAGAAACACTGGCACTTGGAAGGCAGTCAATTCTGTATCATGTTCTTGGATTTAAACACTGAGCTTTCATGAGAATCCTGCTGTAGTAATCCAAGTCTTTGTGATTTCAACTTAACTCTTAAGGAGGTCTGCTATCCCTTTCTGTTCTCTAGAGCTGGATGCAAAATGACATATATGATAAATCTGAATGACAGTAGGTGTGAGAGCTTCCTATGGGTTTTCTGCAATATCACCATGAGGGCTAAGTATTAATTAAGATCCTCTAACATCCATACGGTGTTAGAAGATTATCAACCCACCTCCTTTCTTGAATTGCTCATTTCCTTTCTCCTTCAGCATTGTGCTCTCCTTTCTTCTTTTCTACAAAAGAAAAGACAATGTCTCAAAGTATTTAATTGAAATGAACAAGTAGGTCAGCTGCAGTTCCAAATAAAGTATGAATGGAAATCAGAATAAAATATAACCAGAAGAATTTTAACTAGTACCAAGATTGCTTGCTTGTAGTCATTGTGATATGATAGTCTTTATATATCCATGAAACCTGGAGTATAACAACAAGGCAATTAAAAAGCTCCAGTTCATGGACAATAGTATGCAGAAAGAGCATTCATAGTGAATTACATGGTCTAAACTAATACGTTAGCTTTTTACTGGCTGTTTGCTTCTCCTTTCCAACTCAATTTAATTCAATCAGCGCAGGTCAACTATGTAGAATATATTTTAAATGTAAAGTATTGAAAATTCTGCTTGAGATAACTCCATCTCAGAAATTCATAGTTGCTTTCAGAGCTGTACAAAACATGTTGAGCTGACTGCATCAGAAAGAGGTCCATGGATGTTACTGCCCTGAAAGATTTCTTATGCAGAGAGTGACTAAACCATCAGACCCAGAGACAGGAAGATTGTTCTGTTACACAGTGAAAATTGCACATGCTGAGCAGAGTTATGTTTTCAACCATGAATATCTTAACAGTACTCTTGGCACAAGCGAAGTTGACATGAATGCTCTTAGCCTTTGATACAGAAAACACAGGATGTCATCAAGCCATCTCTTCAGCCTATTTACAATGGAAGCCTTTCACATGCAGGCATACCTCACACAAGTGAAAACAAAGCAGTAGAAGTAAGATGGTTACATCAAGAAGCAATGCTCATGTTCACGAATCATTTCTATGGTAGAAAAATGATCATTTGAACCACTGATTTTGCCCCCAACACACACAAAGGACTTAAATCAAGGTGTCTATCACGTATAGATCACTGAGCAATTAAAAAGCCAACACTAGGAAAAGGAGCAGTTTCCTTTCCTGCAGATTGTGTAAATCAAGGATTAATGCAATTATCAATATCGCACAGAACATCTCCTTGGAAACAGCTAAATATAGTACTCTGTGGAGCGCTGCACCATCTCACAGCTATGCCAAGTAGCTGAGAAACAATACAAAATCAGAGGTTCTCTCCTCCTGCTTTTATTGGTTTTGGAAAGTAATTCACCCGACCACTGTCACCATCTTAGTAATAACAGATCACAATGCTCTGAAACCTAAGCTCAGGAGAATGGCATTCAGTTGTGACACGCAAAATTACACAGTAAAGTATCATCTGATCCTTTCGATACATGCCTAGATGACTGATTTTTTTCCTATTGCCTATTAAAGATGTTTTCTAATACTCATTGCTCCTCACATTTAGAACAACAACAACCAGAAAGCACAGGTCAGATCTGTGTGCACCACTGTTTAGAAACTGGCTTTCCTCCAGGGGAGACAAACCTACACAAGTCCTTCCCCAATGTCTCTTGCACCGACGCACACAAGCCATTTGGTGCCTTCTAAATATGAATATACAAACAAATTTGAGCACTTAAGGCACAAGCTGCATTAAAACCACAAATTCTTTGTATAAATGCAGGATTCTGCTGTTCACCACAGGGAGTACGTAACTGCATTTGAGAACTGTACCCAAACTTTGGAAGTGCCAGAGAGAACAGCTCCAGCAAGGTCACTGCCACACACACAGCTGGCCTCCACAGAAAGCAAATTTTTCCAACATGGTGAATGGACACAGAGTGAAGGTTAGCACAACAGAAGTCATTTTCATACCAGTGAACAAAGGAGCCACATTTCAGCACAGAACAGGTTTGGAGATGATGATCCTACAGGAAAACACGAAACATCTACAAAGACAACCCTCATTCAAGATAAGAAATGCTTGAAACGCTGGCCCTACTGACTTTGCTGCTCATGACCTATTTGGAACTGGCCTTTTAAGTGTCATTAACTGATTCACTGTCACAGAAGGTAAAGTTACAACTTCACAATAATGAAAGAATTTGTTTCGTATGAAATGAGAACTACAGCATAGTCGCTGTACTCCTGATGCAGAAACCTAAAAATCAATGAATACTGGATGAAGAGCTTTACCTGTATTATCATTATTTTGTTTCATTTTATTAAAATTATTAGAAAATATGTTTACCCAAATTAAGTATTAAACACTAATATAAAAGGCGATTTGCGGCAAGAAGGCTTCAGGAGAATAAGCTTTATATTTAAAAAAAAATAATTAAAAAAGAATAAGAGGAACAAAAAATTTCTTCAACTGTGGGATTCCTTCGCAGGTAGCCAAGAGGGTTGTGACCCAGAGTCTCAGCAGCACAGAAGAAAGACCTAGGTGGCTGTATGGCCATGTTCGCTGGGGAAACCTGGGCAGCTGAAAGTTCTGAGCAAGAGAGGAGTTTAAGGACCGTCACACTGGGAAGCTGATGATTCATACAACTCTCCTCAGAAAGCCTGTTCCCGGATATGTCCTCTTGCCTGCGAATCAGACTGCACAAACTTGAAGGACAGAGAACTATTAGTCACATAACTTACAGACATACAAACGTCAGTGACAGTCTTGCGGTCACTTCTGACTACTTGACCAGAAAAGGTGTTGTCTAAGCATGTTCCAGAAGCCAGCAGCATTGTCAAGAACACCGAGCATGGTTTTGCAGCTTACTCAGCTCCTTGGGAAGCAGCAATGCACGCAATGCAGTTCTGGTTCAAACCCAGTATTTCTGTTACAGCTTCACCAACGTTTTCAAGATATCTCTGAATTACGGGTTCCAGGCTGCCCCTGAAGTACTAAACTTCACAAGTTCTTGCAGTGTTTTTCAAAAATGTAAAGTCTATAGGGTACCTCATGCATCATTCTGGATTTTCTTTTGAACTATGACCCATAATCAATACATAACAGCAGACCATCCCAAACAACAAATTCCTCTGGCTTTTCCACAAAATGTAAAATTGTATGTATTAGCACATTACACCCTAAATGCACTGCCCTCTAAAGGACACTATGTATTTGTGAAATAAATCCATAATTTATTCCTCCATATATACACTTCTTTAACAGAAAATCCTAACACTAAAGCAGCTGCAAATCAACTATTTTGGATGAATTTACATTTAACCTGAAAGGACTGCTCCAACGGATGCTGTTAGAATCAGTCTTCTATTCAAATTCATGGTAAAAAAAACAACAAACCAACCAAAACCCAAAGCAGTGTTAGAAGATATAACTTCTTCTCTCAGTAAGCTGCATTTCCAGCGTCAATGGACAACTGCAAATTGACTGGTCATCAGTTTACTGTGATCATATCAAACCAGAGTGAAAAAATTGCAAGTGACTTGTCCTTGGGACAAATTTTGCACAATGTCATTTCAGTGTCCCCACCCACTCATATTTCAGCAAAAGATTTAAGTAGCTGCAGGGCAGGCTACCCTTTCCTCAGCGAGGGAAGTAGGTCAGACTGAACTCTTAGGACGCTCTGCCTAAGGAAAAGATATCTTGACCCACTGCGTTCCCTGAGGCTGCTCGAATACGACATTGAGGTCACGCACAACCTCCCCAACTTACACTCCATTCTGATTTTCTGCTAGTCAAAGTCAGCAAAATCTTAAAGTTTCTTTTTTGCAAATTTTATTAACGCAAAGATGACAAATTCCAAATGGCAGGCATTAGTTTTTGATGTACAAAGTAAAAAAAATGTTTTTTCAAAGTCCAGGAGAAATAACTACATTTAACTAGTAACATGATTCTTAAAGGATCGGATGAGAAATGTTTCCAGATTTGGATACTGAATGGCAATAGTTCATATTCTGAAGAAATTAGGATCTTAACATAAACCTGCCTGGCAAGCAAGAGGTGCTGAAGATTAAGGCCTGATCTGAAGTAATGAGAAAAGACAGCTTGGCCTTCTGACAATGAAAGGCAACAATTCCAAAGAAAGACCATCAAATACAGTCCCTGAACCTCAGCTACTCTGCCAAAAAACTCAGGGTTAAAAATAAAAGCATTAAAGCACTATTTTACTATTAGAGAAGAAAGCAACCTATACATTTTCACTGTTTTGGAAGTAGCCAATGTAATAGAAGCGCTTGAAGTGAAATCCTTAAATATAGCAGGTGAGAGCTGAAGGACAAACACCCTGAGCTTGTAACGCTTCCAACTACGCTTCCGCTGGCTGTTCCTATGCATTTTATTTGATCAATTGATTTAACTTTGCTCGGGAAATGTTCTTGGCTCCAGTTTTGTCAAGAGCAGCAAATGTGTGCTCCCTTCTCTGTAAGGCTATTTACACAGTGTGACAATGCACATCTGCATCTCATACAGCTTTTTGTAAGGTCACCAAGTAGCAGTCAATTTAGAATTACTGGGGTTCAAAGGGTGCACAGAAGCAAAGAATTTAAACAGATAAGGAACATATTTCTCAGTTTCAAATACCAATGCTATTCCTAAGTCATCCATTAGTAGTCATCTGCTTCCCCCTGCAGTTCTGTGGAGCTATTGCTGTATTATACATTCAAGTATTTCAATTTCAATTTAAGGTTGTAGTCACTCAAAAAGCCCTTTTTCAAATCTTGCTGGAGTCATCACTTGAAAACTGTGCCAAATCTGCCCTCTACACTGAAGACACAGAGTAATAAGCCTTGCTAGACTCTAGCCCATCTCTGCTCATTGTAACTCCATAGTAAAGATGCATCAGTCTTTTTACTGCCAAATCACTACCTTTTCCTGAAATTGTAAGCAGCACTTCCAGAGACAAGAGGTCATATCCATCCTTGACAGTTTAAGGTAATGTGCCAGACTAACCGTGACTGTTCCTGAGTGACATGACATGCCATTCAGTCATCCCTGTTCCAGAGGCAACAGCCTCAGGCAGAAAAGTGGAGCCGACCACTTAATCCATCACCACCACAAGTCAAAAAGGCCTCAATTTGCCAGTATCAGCATCTTCTAGACACGCAAAAATGTATATAAGGATCAAATCAGATAGCAGCACTGAAAGTAAGATGAAGGTATACCTTTTCACTCTT